CACTGTTTACGACGTAACTAAGTCATTTCCCCAACCAAAGGTCGAAACAGATTATTGCTGCCGACTCGGATCAAACAAAGTATAAACTGTAAAAGGAGAGCTCTCTCTCTTTTGTTAAAGAGGACAGACGTCAGCTTAAATGAAAATGTTTTGAAATAAGAAAAGCAATACAAATTATTTGTCGTGAATTGATAATGTCAATGTTACTTGACTGTAGATTACGGATGATACAATCCGATAATAATGACTCAACAATGTGTTCTTCGGTGAAAATTTTGTTTAGAAGTAAATATGTAATTTGGTTTAAACCTGCATTAATCGACAGGATATATGTTGGTCGCGAATTGAAATTTGTCAATGGTATTTCCCAGAAAAAGTTCCGACATGATACGATCACCATGAAGAAACATGTGATTCGATTGTGTTTAAACAAAAATTTTGATTGTAATTCATTACAGAATATTGCTTGTACTTGTATTATTGAAACAGTTATTTTGTTATGGTAAGAAACTCGCGTTTTGAAAGAAAAACAGAATTGTCGCGATCGAGTTTTCCTGTGACAAACATTGGTTAAAGATAAGAGTAATTCCTATGGTTCAAATTTTAGAAAAATTTCCATGATTCCAAAATTTATATGAAAAAGTATTGATATCAATCACAACCAAAAACTGGCTTAAATGCACCATTGTAAAACGGAGTATAGAATGGAAGTAAAACGGAACATGAAGTTGAATAAGGACCTTGATTTGCGGTAATCTGCTTTGGAAGAAAACCAATGACAGAAAACTGTCAATTGATAACAGTCCGAAATCACTTCCGAATTAATTTTCAATCAACCAATCGATTCTGGGAATCGTAGACTTAGAACAGTGACCTTGATTTGCGACTGACTGCATCCAAAAGATGACAAAGTTGTTACTTGTTCGAAGAACCGACATTCAGATATCGAGTTGATTCAAATAATCGGAAAAATACTTCGTCAAATTTTGCCTGGAATTTTGAACAAGGAGATAGAACCAGCAACAAAAGTACGAAACTCGAAGTTAGGGCAACACTCCGTGTACCGGAAGTGACGGCACCTAAGGAAACTTTTACATACATTTTCTAAGTGTGACAGATAGAAGGTTGTCCCTCTTTTAGGCTTTAATAAAATTTTGTGAAATTATTTACAAATTATGTGAATTGCTCAGTCTAAAAATGAGAAAAAAAAGTTTTAGAAAATATTTGTCGAGCTTTTAAGTTGTTAAAATGTTATTCGATGACCGTGATTGTTATTTGAGTGTTTGTAATCAATCTTATAAACAGACATGTGATGTTACACGAACATTTCAATGAATTGTAAACGATTTCTATACCTCTGAAATAATGTATCGAAAAAAAGAACTTTGTAACGCGAAACCGAACGTGCACCAGAGAAAAATAGATTCTCAGGCAAGTGTCACTGTTACCTCACTTGGCAAACAAAGGGAGAAGGGACTGACAGCTTCCAGAGCTGCCAGCTAAAATGTCATTATTCCGTTACGACATTTTAAAATGGCAGGGAGCTCTGTGAGGCTCTGGACAGGTCCGAACCCTCACTAAAATTCGCGTTAAAGATTGTTTTAGAGAAAAAAATATAGTAGTTAGAAATAGCTTTTTATTTTATGAAAACGCGACACTAGACAATAGAAGACTTTCAAACAATAGAAGAATGTAAGTCCGTCGACCATTTCCAGTTGGAGATCGAATTAAACTTCGATTTTGACCTCTCCCGCGCCCCCGAAAGGTTTCGAATTGTCATCAGGTGACGACGGGAGACCAATCGGAAAGGGGAATCTGAGAGAAAACAGATAAAACCCCGGAAATTCGAGGACGCGACGGCTTCTTCTCCCGAAAGTTCCAAGTGACGGATCTGTTGTTGTGTGTGTGTCTCGCACCCATCTTCGTCTCCATCTCCCGACCTCCTATCAACATCTTTCCATCAACGGAAGTCGACCGCATAGTCCCGGAGACATCGAGACGTCATGGAATGGTTCATTCGCGAACAAGAGACACTCCTTCAAAATGGGACTATCTTGGAAAGGAGAGGAAGACCCAGAAGCCGCAGCCGCCGCAGAACTTCCAAGATCGCGGAAATCTTGTAAGCTTCTTTCGTGTTTAATAAACTGTTGTGTTGGTTGTAAACAAAGCATCTATCTCTGACTCAACTGCTTCCACATGTCGTTGATTGTTACCGCTCGGCAATCCAAACGGCAAGGGAGACGATGACGATATATATCACATATTATCGTTCGTTGAGTTTTTTTTTATTTCTCCCCCTCGGCCCCCACAAAAATTCGAATATTGGTTCGATTATAGAACGATTCTAAACGTTCCAGAAACGTTGAAAATAGTTCGTTTGACTAAACGTAAAAATTCTCTAATTAGTCTGGAAACCGGGGACCTAATTCTTGCATTCTGTGAAAACGGGTAAGATTAGCTATAATGTTATTATCTTAATCTTCACTATCATTACTTTTTCCCAGCAAAGCAGGTCCTTGCAGCTAGATTCTAGATTACTTAGAAAAACAGTCTTTTATATATATAAAAAAAAACTATATTACATACAAATAAAAACCCAGCGAAGCGGGTCCTTGCAGCTAGTACAATATAAAGATGAAAATGCCATTATAACTATGAGCAGTAAGCATTATCAGTGTAGACATGTGTAATAAATCTTCATAATGTTGCATGGTGGTGTGACGTACAGGATGCTGATACAAAAACAGTTATAAGTTAGACCATTATTGGTTTACAGTTATGAACTAAAGTTATACAGACAGATTATGTACATACCAAAAACAGTAAGACGACAGAGTTGCAGGTGCCAGCATTACAACAAGGTGCTGGGAGTGATAGCAAACGAGGTGTGTAACAGTCCACATCTAATGCATTAGTGGTGACAACACATGATACAATTACAAGTTTACAACAGTTTTTAACAATATATATAGCTGTAACATTACAAAGATGTTTAGTTTTTAAAATATATAATTGTGCCATCCTTTGTCAATTTTAATTAATTCTATTAACATTATTAATTTTTAAAATCTATGTTCAAAACATTTATAGCTGCTTTTAAAAGCAAATTTTAGTGTTTTTATCGTACTTTTATCTGTTTCACATCCATATTGATTGCAGTGTTTAGCAAGTGCAGAATATTTATCAAATGCAGAGAATTGTATTTGATGGTATTTGTGTGTTCTTTTATATGAACTTTGAGGCATCTTTTTGCTTCACCTACATAGATCATAGGATTATTACAGTTGCAGTTACATTGGTCTAATAAGCCCTCACTATTATCTGCCTCATGGTTGTTGATAATTTAATTATACCAAAGGCTAGAAGCAACTTTTGTAATAATATGTATGTACATTATTATTTTCTTTTTAAATATATATACTTATGATTACAAAGTCCTATGAATTAGATTGTGTCCCAAGTTTCTAAATTAGAAAATATCTTAATGACATTGAATATGGATCTGATATGATGTATCCTAAAAGTCAACAGAAGTGATAAAGTGGGATTCCATTCAGTTCACTCAATGCCATGTCACATGAAGTAAGTTTAATTGACATTTTTACATTAGGTTACTAAAGACAAAATTCCATAATAATATCCCACTCTCCACATGTTAAGTTCAGACTTTAATTTGGCACATGAAGGGTAGTAGAATGATATGTTACAGTGTGAAATTATGTCCATAGACAACTTACAACCTTCAAATATCTGTAATCCAGCTCATGATCGTTTATGAAATATTTATTAAACAGAACATTTTAAATTTGTATTCAGTTTTTCCTGTTAATAAAATCAATATATAAATATTAAAATAAAAATTAAAATACTCATATTTTTTTTGGTTAAATGCCCTTTTAATAATTCTATGAATTATGGAAAGCATTTGATCCAATAGGATTGATTGCCTAGTGTTGATGTACAGCAGAGATAGGCAATCTTTTTCTATGTAAGGGCTGCATTTCAAAACTTTTGAACCGACACAAGCTGCGCAAGAGAAAAGAAAACACCAATGCCAGTAAATCAATTATTTATTCATATATAATTATAAATTAGCACAGTTATACTTAATTTAGTTTTTGGAACTGATGTGAACATAATATATTGGAAATGTTTAGTTAAATATTACTCGCTGCTAGTTTTAAATCAGTTTTGATGTGTCTGTTAACTGGCTTCTTGTTTTAATTTTTACTAAATTCATTGCAAAACAACTATTCACATACATAAGTTATAGAAAATAACATTTGAATTTTTGCTGCATACTTCTTTAAGCTGGAAAATTGACATATTTATTCATATTTTATGCAACGCGGGCCGCAGATTGACCATCCCCGACGTACAGTGTGACAATTCACTTTGTTTAAAGTATTGTTCAATTTCTCAACTGAATCTCTCAACAGTTGAAGATGTAAAACAGTTGCTTAGAAAAATGGTAAAAACATTTATGTTTGAAGAGAATGGGAAGAAAGCATGCAAATAACTATTAACTTACATTCATAGGGCTTTGTGATAACATCCAGAAACTTTTTAAAATTCTTTCCTTTGTATAGTTCAAAAATTTTAAATGAATTTTTTTTGTAACTAATAAGCAAACGGTAAAAGACTAGATTCATTATTTGCTTCATATTTTAATTAGGAATAAGTTGTTGGAAATTTTAGATGAGCAATCATATTATATGAGATTGTGACATTCAAATGCTTTGTATATACAGTTATGTACTACAAGTAACCTTTATCATATTTTAGCATAAGTCATTCTGAAAATGAATTAAAACAGAGTAATTACACAATTACATTGTAATACTGTACGTGGTAACGTTTAAAGTTTGCAAGTTATTATAAGATTTTAATAAATGTTTAAAGTATTTAAACCGAATTCCTAAGCGTAAGTCATGCTTTTTCATCTATTAATCATTAGTAAAGTTCAAAAACCCTTAATTAATGCTTATCATAATACTCACACGAGAAGCCTTCTATGTTCCCTTCTACATTCGAAACAACTTTTTGAAAAATCCCTCCTTTTCTATTGGCGATAAACCTGTTCAAATATCCAATCATAGAAGAGCGTTAAAATGACGAAATCGGGAATGTGACGAAATAAACCGAAGAAACGAAATTTAAAATTACAAAATTAATTTATAATAAATATATATTAATATTAATAAATATANTTCATTTTATTTCATTAAATTTTCTACAGTTTATGCATTTTATTATTCATAAAATGATAATGGTTTTGAGGGGGAGTTGACTTTTGTTGGACGTTCAAGGAGGGGAAAGGGTTACAGAAACTTGAACAAACTGGAACAATGGAGGAAGAGGGAGTAAAAATTTCAAGAAAAATGCAGATGTGATTTATGGACAGTCCCTATCATATAGCATCTTTCACTTTGATTTCTTTAAATCTTTTAATTTTAGATATTGCTAGTCTGCACAGTGAAAGCATAGACATGACTCAGCCTGAGCCGGAAGGGTATTTCAGATGAAAGGGATAGAAACAGCATGTGAGTAGACGGGAGACGGGCTGTCGAACCGGAGTCAATAAACCGGTGATTTATTTTTGTAAACAGAAACGGGATGTGATGCGATTTAATTGTCACATTCTCGGCCGTAGATCACAAGAAAGAGCGGGAGAAATTTTGGCAGTCACCTTACACAGAGTTTAAAGTGGAAAACACGAACGCTTCCATGGAGGAGGGAGTAGCTAGAACCGTACGAACCCAGCTGCATTTTCTCCGAGACAGGAGAACACAAATTATCGGTAATTTACGAGACGATCGCTCGGGAAATAGAATGACCCTATTCCAGGGAGAGTAGTCCTGACGGGGGTGTTCGACAACCCCGCGACGTTGCCACAATGAAATTTCAAAACGTACCGAAGCTCCTTCAAAACATGTACTACAAGTTTTGAAGGAGCTACTTGTATTTTCTTTCAAAATGTCCTATTTCTATGGTTGGTTACTTTTAATATTAATATACTATCGTACTCAATTTTTGTGCTTATTTCAAATTCATATTCACCAATACTTTGTTAAATACAAATACTTTAAAATTAAATATTTCATAAAAAGATTTGATGAAAATAGTTTCTATGGTTTTTTGTTAAATACAGCATTAAAAGTTGATTTTTTAAAAATATTATAGTGATGGATAAAAAAAATTAAATTAATTAAACATGCGTGGACAGATTCAAATTAAAAGAAGTTATTTCTTTTACCAAGATTGATAAAATTGAAGTTCATAATTATAGTGGTAGAAAATAATATAAAAGTACTGTATTTATATAATTTGTACTGTACAATTTCAAAACTATTTTGTGTAATAATTCGACTCTGTCTTAACGGATATTTTGATATTATTGATGACAAAAGTTTAAAATCATTAATTAATTTTCTTATCTGTCCGATATTTTTGTTTGACAGAGTTGGATTGTTTGGACCACGTGGTGTGAAAAATTTTGTCAAGGTCCTCGTGAGAATGTGACACGTGTGAAAGAGGACCACTGAGTCATAACATTTGCACGTGCAACAAGTGCGACTAAATATCCAGATGGCACAAAGCGCCCATTGGTCAGCCGAATGACGTTAACCCACCGAAGTATAGATTGTATTTTGTGGTCGTCAGAACGAATCGTGACAAAATAGATTATTTTCTTTTTAGTTGTCGTAACATGGAGCGAGTATAAAGTGAAAATATAGCTGATTATTTTCTTTTTTTGAACATTTAACTTCATACTTGATCTTTACACACCTCTGAACCAAATCGTACACGATAGATCATTTTAATAGTGCGATTAGTGTTTTAAATTTGCGTGCGCAGATAATAAATAACAGAAAATTTATACTTTGTTACAGATATTATTCATAAAAAGTTCGAGAAAGGATGAAATTTATAATTAAGATAAGTCAGAATATTTTTTGAACTTGTCATACGCATTTAATATACCGTGTTTCCCCAAAAATAAGACATCCGCAGAAAATAAGACCTAGCACAAATTTTGCTGAATTGCGAAATATAAGACCTCCCCCTGAAAGTAAGACCTAGCGAAGATTTTTTTTAGTCGTAACGGTCATCGACAGATGGTTGAAAGTGGCCGTTGGCTTTTTGAAAGTACAGCCACTGATTGGTCAGCAGACAATTACGCCACACGGCATGATTTGCATAAGACTATGGCTTGGGAATCACAGATTTGCATAA